GTGAGTCAACAGCAGGTCAGAGGAGGAGCTGCTGTGGGACAGACATGACAGTTGCTCTTTAAAAATTGGGATTTAAATCAGTTGATTTAAATCAAGCCTTTTTACTAGTGATTTAAATCATGATTTAAATCGACTTGATTTAAATCAAATCTACCCTGTTGACAATGATGCTGATGTCCATTCAGTCATATCTGATTCTTGGCGATTCTACGGACCAGGTCTCTTCCGATCTTGCCTCTTCGAGTTTTTCCATGTTCTGGCTGATGTCATCTTTGATGGTGTTCAGGCCACTGTGTGCTTTGGAGGCCCGGTTTCCTTTTACCGCTAACTCTTCTGAACATTATTGCTTTCTCCACTGAATGAGGTTCCTTAGCCAAGCCATATATTGTTTCAAGTAACCCAGATGTAATGCATTCTGTTAAGAAGGAAGGAGCCTTGACTTAGTAAACAAAAATATACTAAGAATCTTCAGGAAAACCTCACTTTTTGTGTGATGGACGGCTATATTAATTTGATAAATATCTTTAAAAATCAGAATCTGCTTCATTAGTTCTCCTGAACTATAGCTGATTAAAGCAGATGGAGGATGGTTGACAATGAAGACTGTTTAACATTTAGAAAGAAGAAATTGAATATTTCTTGACTTGGGGATGTATTCTATCAACGGTTAGACAATAGAAACAGAAGTTAGAAGGGAGGAGATATAAAAAAGGGGAAATGTCAGTGTGGAGAGAATTTGATGATGAAGATGCTATGTACTGGAGTCCCACCTTAGGCATGAAAGCAGAAGATGGTGAGTTCTAGTACTGTCTTAGGTATGAAAGCCGGCTAGATGACTTTGGATCAATCACCAGGGGATGGTGAGTTCTAGAACTGTGTTAGATATGAAACCTGGCTAGGTGACTTTGGGCCAATCACCAAAAGATGGTGAGTTGTAGTTTCACCTTAGCATAAAAGACAGCTGGATGACTTTGGGCCAGTCCCTTTCTCTCAGCCCAACTCACCTCACAGGGTTGTTGCTGCAGTGACAATACGTGGATGAAGAAGTAGGTATGTTCTCTACCTTGAGTTATTTATAAAGTAATAAAGGTGGGATTAAAAGCCAATGAATAAATAAATGTAATTACCTTTCCCTGGTTTTAGGATGGCGGTTCCTTGGATCAGGTTTTGAAAGAAGCCAAGAGGATTCCTGAAGAAATTTTGGGCAAAGTCAGTATAGCAGTGAGTATGCAGCTGCCTCCTTTTAATCCCCCCCCCCAAGGTTTTGCGAGATACAGAGTCTCATCTGTATTCTTCTAGAAGCATTTGGGCACTGAATTATCCCTTCAGTCAGAGACGGCCACCCTCTGTTCTGTCACACATGTGTATGGGTTTTATTTTTTAGTTTCCCATTTATAAAATGGGGATCATTCTTGCTTCCATCCCTCAAATCCTGATTCTCTTCTCCTCTCCTCTTCCCTCTCTTCCCCTCCTCTCTTCCTCCCCTTCTCTTATTTTCTCCTCTCTTCCTTCCCTTCTCCCCTCCCCTTCTCTTCTCTTTTCAGGTTCTGCGAGGATTGGCTTATTTACGAGAGAAGCACCAAATCATGCACCGAGGTAAGCATTGGTTGTAATAGAAGCGGAAGTCTGCATATGTAAGTGAACTGGGGTTGTGTAGATCAATGTATGTATGTATGTATGTATGTATGTATGTATGTATGTATGTATGTATGT